AGTAGCCGGAAACGGCAAAGTCGGTGGATAAAATCGGGGGAGAGGCACACGGGGGGGGTGTACTAATACTCATGGTCGTACATGCCGTAGTCGTTAGACCATTGACCTCGCATCCCTACAAAGCCGGGACGGAGCACGCCGGGTTCTCACCGGACCAGGCTCTCACATCACCAAGCGCGAAGCGCCGTGAGATATTCGGCGAGTCGCATGAAGGGTGCGCTGCATCCTGCTAAGGGTGTTCGGCATCTTGTGCTTACTTCCTTGCGTACGGATGACAGCTGCGTATGAATTAATTTATTTTCTGGTGCTTTCACTTCCAGAGACAGTTGTAAGCACTGTGTAACTGCCTGGAGGGTGCTTGACCATTTTAACACAACGTGGTGCGATCATCCCCCTTGCGCGGAGTGAGGGTTCTCGACCCCGCACAACATGATCTACTCGACCACCATTATGGTTACCACCAAAAAAAACGGAGGCATAAAAAAAAGACGGTAACGTGGTTGCCGAGTTGACGAAGTGAATTGGTTTGTTTTACAACGTCGTTGCCATGCGACGAAAACCCAATCCCGATGGCAAACACCGAGGGGGGGGCTTGTTTTACAACGTCGTTGCCAAGCGACGAAAACCCAACCCTGATGGCAAACACCGGGGGGGGGCACACAGGGGGGTGCGAAAATATCAATAAGCATTCGAACCGAAATATGCCGAAACACGAAGTAAAGAAGTCACCAAGGGACAAAAAGACCAAACGATCTCGCACGAACGAGCAGGCCAAGAACTCAATTCACGTAGGTCAAAACCTCACACGAAGGGGGGGCTAGGAGACGAGCACAGAGAGGCATAAAAATGCACCACCAAGCGAAACAAAGACCTAACCTGGATCGTTATGTGACCGGGGTCTCCCACACTTTCAAAAGTTTTGTGAAATCGCTCATGGGACACCCATGGGCAGCCGAATGGGGAATGCCCTTGGGCACGCCCATGGGTAGCCCGTCAGCAGCCCATGGGCCGCCCATGGGCGGCCAATGAGTGCCCTTCAACCGAAACCAACGTACTTCAAAACGGTAGATTTGCTGCTTTGAAACGGGCATTATTGCGCCAAATTACCCTGACGCTAACTCTGACCCCAACGCCAAGCCCATACGATACGTGCTAGGTTGACACTGGGTGACTAAGTTCTAGGTTGAAGTGCCGTGGCTAAATTCTAGATTGATACGCCGGTGGAAAGGTTGTAGGTTTAAGTGTCCATGGGCGGCCCATAAGCGGCCCACGAAGTGCCCATGGGCCAAGCAAGAGAGGCCAAAGAAACCTTGCAGGATAAAGACCAACCGCCATGGAAGCGTTGACGTGCCACGAGAACACCCTCAAGCTGTGTGTGGGAACGTTTGGTCGTTCGCAGACAGATGTAGGTTGTTTCTGCTTCCTTGCTGTTCTTCCTCGACAATCCCGTCTATTCCTCCTCGCACGCACACCGTGCAGCCAGAATCCACGCCAGCCGAATACCACACCAATCGCAGACGACCGGACCCGGCTCGCACACACACCGAATCAAAGGGCACAAGACTCGGCACAGGATCGCCGCAATCCTGCATGATGTCATAAGAACAAAGCGTGTGACCATGCCGAACCATAGTACCGCATCCTCACATGGCTACCTCCAACTACCACAACATTGTCCGGTAAAAGGAACCAGGGGCCTCTGGTGACAAGAACTAGAAAATCATGTTGTAGTCTATTTACAACATGTTCGAATGAACGCAGGGAAAGACTGTTATTTCGCTGAGGACGAACTTCGCGACGAACACTTACACCACTAGTCTACCACCACAACAAAGAAAAAGCGAAACCAGACTAACTACAGGAGGATACACACGATGAATGCCTATGTCCGCTGCTCTCGTACCGCCAGCACCTGATCCACGCGCACAGCGCGCGGCTACTTGCATGGGTGGGACTTCGGGGGCCCACGCGGTTTCGGTAAGCCTCGGCGGGCATCTCACCACCGAACAAGGTTGCATCAAGCATGCTCCGCACGCACAGGAAAGAGAGCTGACAACACCTAGGTGGGCCCCACGACGAATCGTTTCGAGTACAACACAACCGGTACAGCTCCCGCTTCGCCACCCGCCACCACGTAGTAGTACTCGTACAAAAACACAGGGCAAGTGACATACGGTCGTAATGTGTACTGGGTACATCGAGTATTACGGAGTTTGCCCACCCATGCCATGCGGGATGGTTGGAGGGTGGCGGCGGGATCACAGACAGACGTGAAACTAGCCAGCATTCCATTCGCACAAGAAAAAACATGACAAACCAAAGGTATGCACGATAAAAATTCAAGACACATGGGCCAACTAATCGAAAATCGGGGTCCGTGGGGGGGGGGAGGGGTCATTTTTTTTGGGGGGGGGCGGGACATATACCCATGTATCCCCGGCTTTTTTCGCCGAGGCGTCGGCGCTTTGGCGTCCGGCTCTCTAGCCCTAACCCTAACCCTAGCCGTAACCCTAACCCATAAGCTCTCTCTCGCAGAGATCGTAGCGAGACACCGTGCGAGAACTCGCAAGCAGGGGTCCGCATGAGTAAGCGGGGTAGATTGACCAAGTCGAACGAACGCTACAAGACTAAGGCTACGAGTAGATTTGCGAGACTATGTTCCCTGTTGTGCCGTCCTATAAGCGACAAGGGCAAGTAATTTGCGAAGCAGGTGATTGTGTTGGATGGGGGTTACCTGTGAGTTGCTTCGCTCATGTCGAGCTTTGGTCGATGTACTGCACTTTTTTGTAGATATGAGGCGCTAACGTAGGTGTATTCCTGTAGCACGGCTGGGTGAGGATGGGCCGGCTTCTGACGAGCAGATGCGGATAGGGGAACGAGAGCGAGGCATGTTTGCAATCCATCTAACCTCATGGTAACGTTTCAACGATTCGTGGCAACTTTTTTACTATCTCCCCACTCCGGGGAGGGTGGTGGAGCCCATGTGTCCGGACATGTGTTTCGCGAAGACCCCTGAAAAGCTATTAAGCATCGAGCCGTGGCTGATCAATCTCCCACACTACTGACAGTTTTGTGAAACTGCCCATGGAACACCCATGATCACCCATGGGCCGCCCATGGATACTTCATGGGCACTTCATGGGCTGCCCATGGGTGACCCATGGGCATGCCCCATGAGCGGCCCATGGGTGGCCTATGAAGAGCCCAATGTGGGCACTTTGACCTAGAACTTCGCCACCGGCATATCAACCTAGAACTTAGCCACCGGCACATCAACCTAGAACTTAGCCGCGAGCGCCGACCTAGCACGTATCGTGTGGGCGTGGGGATACGGTTTCGGTTAGTGTTAGGGTTATTAGCCGCGAGAGTGCCCGTTCCAAAGAAGATAATCTACTGTCTAGGAGTACGCTGGTTCGGTTGAGGAGCTCTCATTGGCCGCCCATGGGCTTCCCATGGGTTGCTCATGGGACGTCCATGGGCTGCCCACGGGCTAGCCCCATGAGCAATTCCATGGGCATGGGCATGCCCATGGGTCACCCATAGGTCGTTTGGGGAAATTGTAGAAAGTGTGGGAGACCCACAGTAGTACTCGGTTCAAACTACAGGTTTGGTTTTTTTATCATTCAAAAGTTGAAAAAGTTAACCTTCTTTTTTTTGTTTTTTCAACTTTTGAATAATGTCTAGACAGACCATGCGTGTACGAAACGAGAGTTCCGCGTTGACACGAAAACGGTTGATACACATTCACGTGCGTACCCAAAACTCACGAGCTTGGGAACTGGCTCCATTTCTACTTTCTTCGCTTTGTGGTCCGCTCGTTGCAACCAACTTGAAGAAAACTCAGCAGCATAGCCTACATGTCATGTACCTCCTTCTTCTGTCTGCTCAGAATTTCGGACACTCAACAACGAAGAGACGGCAGCATCGAAACAACGCACCACGCAGCCTATCAAAGCTACACACACGGACAACGAGTTTCGTTGATACTACAGTTCATGCTTTGAATTGAACATCAAGAAAACCGCCTCAAGTACCACGTCGAAAGGTTACGCTGCGTTCTCTGGTTGTTTCATACCCCAGAATCAACGAGCACAAGGTCATATCATCACCGAGCCACGCAGAGCAGCGCCACGAACAGCAGCAACAACAACAGCAACAATATTCAACAAGACACAACACCATCACAACAAACACAACAAAGGGAGAATAAAAAACACTGAAGGGACAACAGCGCACCCACCCGTCAACCATGGAAAAGCAAACAGGCACGGAGCACACACACGCCCGTTTTCCAGCAACAAAATTAAGTACACCCCAGGCACATCAACCTAGAACTTAGCCGCGAGCGCCGACCTAGCACGTATCGTGTGGGCGTGGGGTTACGGTTTCGGTTAGTGTTAGGGTTATTAGCCGCGAGAGTGCCCGTTCCAAAGCAGATAATCTACTGTTTAGGAGTACACTAGTTCGGCTGAGGAGCTCTCATGGGCCGCCCATGGGCTTCCCATGGGTTGGTCATGGGCCGCCCATGGGCTAGCCCCATGAGCAAGCCCATGGGCATGGGCATGCCCTTGGGTCACCCATAGGTCGTTTGGGGAAATTGTAGAAAGTGTGGGATACCCACAGTAGTACTCGATGCAAACTACAGGTTTTGTTTTTTTATCATTCAAAGTTGGAAAAGTTAACCTTCTTTTTAATGTTTTTTCAACTTTTGAATGATGTCTGGACAGACCATGCGTGTACGAAACGAGAGTTCTGCGTTGACACTAAAACGGTTGATACACATACACGTGCGTACCCAAAACTCACGAGCTTGGGAACTGGCTTCATTTCTACTTTCTTCGCTTTGTGGTCCGCTCGTTGCAACCAACTTGAAGAAAACTCAGCAGCATAGCCTACATGTCATGTACCTCCTTCTTCTGTCTGCTCAGATTTTCGGACACTCAACAACGAAGAGACGGCAGCATCGAAACAACCCAGCACGCAGCCGATCAAAGTTACACACACGGACAACGAGTTTCCTTGATACTGCAGTTCATGCTTTGAATTGAACATCGAAAGCCGCCTCAAGTACCACGTCGACTGGTTACGCTGCGTTCTCTGGTTTGTTTCATACCCCAGAATCAACGAGCACAAGGTCATATCATCATCGAGCCGCGCAGAGCAGTGCCACGAACAGCAGCAATACCAACAACAATATCCAACAAGACACAACACCATCACAACAAACAAAACAACAAAGGGAGAATAAAAAACACCGCCGGGACAACAGCACACCCACCCGTCAACCATGGAAAAGAAAACAGGCACGGAGCACACACACGCCCGTTTTCCAGCAACAAAATTAAGTACACCCCAAAACTTCGCTCGAATGTACAGGCCTACATGACAGCCTCCTGGTCCTCCGATTAAAGGGGTCCTTTGACCCCGTTCTGGCGGTGCTATTGCTGCCGCCATGTTGCTACAGTAGCCTGGTCCGTCATGATGTTCATTCCTACAGCCGTTCCTACAACTCCAATATTTCTACAACCTACCATCTCCCCGTGGAGTCATTCCTACCCAAGCGATAAATTTCGCCGTTCATTATCTCTCAGCTACAGGCTGACCGCTGTAGCACACAGACGACGACCTCATCACCAGTAGCATGGTATGCTCACCAAAATCGACAGTCGTCCCAAGTCTTCTACCCCCACTGACCGTCGGACAGGCTCGGGTATCAGAACCATGAAGCTTGGCTACTGTTGTTGTAAAACGTTGCAAACGACGCACACGCTACGCTAGGGGATATGGTTTCCTTCCATTCCACATCTACAATATGTATGCATGTGTGGCTGCAAGCTGCAGTAGTAGTAGCAGAGTTCTGCTATGACACCCACGAGTAGAAACCATGACCGACCGTCGGACGTACCCATTTCCCCTCATCACAACAACACCCCCGCACGACACCCGGGCGAAAACCGGGCAAGACAATATTGACAACACGACCCACGCCGCACGACTACGGGCGCGAGCGTGCGGGCGGAAAGCTCTAGATGGTAGAGTAGCGCTCGAGATCTGAAACAACCGAAAATGGATATACCCCCACCCGCCAAACCTCCGCACGACCTACCACAACAGAAAAACGTCCTCACAACAACAAAACCCAAAATCCCGCCGGCCTTGGCACGGCACACGACACAACACACACAAAAAAAGAAAATCTCGTATTTGAAGACCAAGCAACAGTCCCCTTTGATCAGCAGGACGAACGATGAGTTTCTCAAACAGCAATACTGATGATGCGGTATCGAGTCTACGGAAGCAACGTCCAACGCTGTCGACCTCCCCCCCACCACTTCTCCCGCCCTTACTCTCTTACCACAAACTCCTGAACCCCCCCGCCCTGATACGTAATCATACGGAACATGCCCCGCACACACGGCTACTGCATGGATCGCGCAGGGGCACCAGCACTCTTCCGAAGCCTGCATCTCACCACTGCAACAAAGGTCTATCAAGCACGCTTCAAAAGACGGAGTAACTTGTCGACACTCACAACCAGCCGCTCCCCGGGGGAGCCGCAAAGAATTCCTTACAAAATGACCCTGTCGGTCATATCAACATGACACTACGAACCACGGTTGTTATGTACTGGTGGATCAACCGATCGATGGACTGGCGTTTCCCGAACTTCATGGCTGAAACGTGTCACACTTCGCTCTTTTGGAACGGGAGCATCGCGAGGTGGGCGAGCCTGAAATTCACCTCAATATTCCAACATGCTGCTATATGAGAGACCAACGGAAACAATCATCACGAATTCTAGAGCGTTTGCTGTATTGTTAAAAAATCAAACAGCGTGAGAAAGTGTAGAGCGCTTTCGACGCTTGGCGGGAAAAGCTCTATAACTGTGGACCTCAGTAACGGGACCCCCCCCCCCCCCCCCCCCCCCCCCCCCCCCCCCCCCCCCCGCCCCCGAGCCCCCGAAAAAAATATGATAAAAAAGAAACTGGAATTTGTCCTCTCCAACACAACAGAAAAAAAACAAACACGTTGTGCCCCATACCCCCTTCCCCCCTCCTAATTGTAGCTCCATGACTGCCCCCAGGATTTGAATTTGTTGTCCCGGCTGCGTCGGAGTATTGACATTGCCCCGTTCGACGCATCGCTCGAGCCACGTTGACAAAACAAATCGCCCTGGGTCCAAGCCTTATTCATTCTATCAATACCCACACAGAACACAGACCGTAGCGTGTTCTGCGATGCCTGCAAAGCTCTCCGACCAACAGAGCTACCCGTTGACTACGGTTTTTTGTTTCGCAGCCATCGGCACGACCAGAGGCTAGACCGCATCGCTGCGGCCGCCACCGTGCATGAGCTCTAGCCCCGCCTAGGAGGCCCGGCCGGTGCCGCCCCTCAAGCGGCGGCGATCGCGCCGCTCCGACTCGTCGTCGCTGTCGAACCCCGCCTAGGAGGCCCGGCCGGTGCCGCCCCTCAAGCGGCGGCGATCGCGCCGCTCCGACTCGTCGTCGCTGTCGAAGTCGTCGCCGTAGTCGTCTCCGGAACCGTCGTCAGAGTCGTCGTTGTTGGACTCGTCGTCGCTGTCGAAGTCGTCATCACTGCCCTGTGCCTCCTCGTCATCTTCGGACAGCGGCGTCACGAAATCAGAACCGTCGTCGTCGTCGTCATCATCGCTCTCGTATGAGGCAGAACCGNGTCATCTTCGGACAGCGGCGTCACGAACCCAGAACCGTCGTCGTCGTCGTCATCATCGCTCTCGTATGAGGCAGAACCGTCTCCGCGGCCGCTGCCGCCGCCGCTGCTGCTGCTGGCGCTGGCGCTGGCGCTGCTGCTGCTGCGGCTGGTCACTGAAGTGCTGGAGCTAAAGGAGGAGGGGGACGAGGAGGTAGTAGTGGTGGTGGTGGCGATGCCGTCGCATGCCTGGTCCCACGAGGTTGTGATGCCAGACAGGGCCTCGCTGTAACGCCGGCGACGATTTTCATTGAAACGTCATTGACGATGGCAGTGTTGGTGTTGTTGGTGTTTTGTTGGTGGTGGTGATGGTGGTGATTGCGGTTGGTACCGGTGCCACAGCGACGGTGTTGGACGCGGTGGAGGTGTCGTTTGTTGTATTGGTGAGGGACGAAAAAAGGACGAGGTAGAAAGCGAAGGGTAAGCGGCTCAGGCTAGACGGTGATACTCCCAGCACGGTGTTTGATCGCTACACAGGGGTCGAGCAAGCCCCCATGATGACGCGCAATGCACCCTCCGTGTTCAGTTGAAGACACACGTGAGCAGCGATGGGAAGCAAGGGTCAACAACCAACAAGGATCATTGGCAGCGCCACCCGACATACACGTTACCACGAAATGAGCTGTGGATGCGTTGTATCCTGTACGAGTCTGCCGGAGCGGGTGCTTGACGCGATACCGACAGAATACGTCCACCTTGAAATGACAGCAACACGACTTAAACGTTAGCAGTAGCAGCAGCGGCGGTGGCAAAAAGAACGAACACATGACAGCACCACGTGCAACAACGACAAGAACAACTCACCCGGTCAACGAGCAAGACCCGTCCTCGCAGGTGTTGCCGCAAATGTCGCCCTGCTCGCCCACGACCACCTTGAGGGCCCCTACGCCGACGGCATAGAAATCGTTGCCGTACACCTGTCAGACGGGGGTGAAGGCCACATGGAAACGGATAAACGACAATTGAGGGTCCCTCCCTGTATTGAATACAGCTGTGGCGGCTTACACAAAAGTTGTTTATTACGGAGCTTTCGTGATGGGTGTTGGCAACAGCGATGTGCCCGTGTCACGACAAGCGTTAAGCTTTTTTGTGGCCGGGGGGCAGAGAGACCCCACCGGGGTACGGGCAACATGCACGTCAGGCGTTGTGGGTGTGGTTGCTGCATGATAGAGAGGTAGTGTTGGCGACAAGACCTGGCGTCTAGATCGTATTCACATCTGGTCAAGCACCAAAAACATCTCTATCCACAGACAACAGTCGAGGTTAGGTTTGCGGTGCATGATGACGGGTTGATGGTAGGCACGCCATCTTTGGTGTATGTGCGATACGGACGGTACGTAGCGCATACATGCACATGATCAAACGCCAACAACGACCACTCCACCACCATCGATAGCAGAACCGGCGACCAGCGCAGCAGCACCGACAACAACAACATCAACAACAACGACAACACCACGCGTGGCTTTCAATCACATCCAGCAGCAGCGGTGTCTACATCATCACGAGGCATTTGTGTCGTGCGACACGTAACGTCGCACCACTCCCCCCCCGGCGCAACGCGGCCGACAGAGACCAGCGAAGGGAATCAAACAAGATGCAGGAGCCCTTATGCTGGGCGCCGTAGATTCGCCGATTACCCTCAGCTCCGCCGCCACCGGCGAACACTCAGCAGTGTTGCGACAACTACTCACGCTGTTGTTGACGCCGTACTGGTGACCGTCGACCTCCCACCCGCCTAGTCGCACGCCGGCACCCGTGCATTCCGATCCGACGTTGTACCTGTTATATGTTTTTCGTTTGTTTCGATAGCGGTGTGCGAGTTCCGATCCTAAAAGCTTATTCAACACGGTCGTGATAAAGGTGGCGATTGTACGAATCGATAATGACCGGGTGACGTCCACAACGGCGGGGTGGGTAGGAATTGTAGCGACAGGTGTGAACGAGCGAGCAGCGTGTGTTTCCACCGATTGGGTGAAATCCTCTGTTGATACGCGCGATGAAAGGCATGCACCCAAGAAAGACGGCTGGCGCCAGCGGACGGAGGGAAGGAGAGAGAGAGAGAGAGAGAAACAAAGAGGCGGACAGAGAGAGAGAGAGAGAGCGACAGAGAGAGAGAGAGGAGAGAGAGCGAGGCCAAGGTCAACAATAGGGAGGCCATTTGCTTACCGGAAGGTGTTGCCGTCGCCCCGTGAGTCGTAGCAGCCGGATTCCGCGTCCAGCTGGTCGCTGCAGAAGTTGTCCTCGATAACGTTGCCGGAGGAGCCCTCCTTGATGTCGACGCACTCGTTACCGCTCGTGGAAATCAGGTTCCCGGAGACCACGTTACCGTTGCACGTGTCCTCCCCGTTCGTCCACTACAGGTTTTGTTGGGCGACAGTGTGGGGGCAGGGGTAGTCGGGGCTGGTTGTTGTTGTTGTTGTTGTTGTTGTTGTTGTTGTTGTTGTTGTTGTTGTTGTTGTTGTTGTTGTTGTTGTTGTTGTTGTTGTTGTTGTTGTTGTTGCTGCTGCTATTGTTGTTGTTGCTGTTGTTGTTGCTGCTGTCGTTGTTGTTATCGTTGTTGATGCCGTCGAGAAAACCGCTCAGTATCTTCGAACGTCTGTGCCGGCCAATTCGACGCGGACGACTTCCATGATCACAAACCAACTGCCTGCAAGGAGTGCGCATCATGTCGACACTTTTCGACTGTCCCCATGCCGTTCCAGTTGTTTGCCTTCCCCCCAGAGGTAAAATGTCAAATTCCACCTCTTGAGCTTCTTTAATTGTGACTGGGGGGTGCCGGATGAGATGCGCCGCGGAGCTTGAAAGTGGTCGTCGATTCCAGGCGTTTTACATTTCAACACACGGCGCTTGTCCTCCAACGGTTAGTCCTTATTTCTTCACCGAAGCTTCGAGCTGTGGCGGTCTATCGTGGTTCCTTTCGATTCGCCGGTTTGCCTACTTCCCCGTGGTGCTTGCGATCGCAACGTCGACTTACATGCATTATATTTCATGGGTCAAGCACTGTTTTGATTAAAAGTGTGTCTACCCCACTCTTTCGAGAAAATTTTGCCCATGTACATTTCCACGTTTTTCGTACTTCGGCATCAATTGTTCTCACTGCAGCGAATCGTTCGAAACGAGTCAGGGCTATGCAAACGACTCGCCGATAGACTACAGCACAGGCCCAGGGACCGTCAGGCATCCGTGGCGCGTGCAATTGACGGCGGAAGTCGTCCCCGGGAGGAAAGCCGCCCAGCTTCCGACGGGGAGACTTATAGCATACCACAGCACCAGCTGCGGATTCTTGCATGAGGCCGCATGTAGTATTAGTGCCAAGGGCGCTTTCACCCGGCCACAAGCCGGGCACCCGGCCCTATCGAGAGTAGAGCGGACTACTGTACTCGAAACGTCCCGTCCTTGTCACGAGGAGTTTCACCGGCCGACCACTGGGCGATGAGCGGCCTAACTCATCTGGCAGTACTATAGTGAGCGCCCGCGTCTACGAAACGTCAACTTGGGGTCGAGGTTCAATTTCTAAACTTGCCACCACCACCGTCAAGCATATTGCATTCTGTAGTGTTGGTGAACTGTAGGACGATTTTATTCTTAGAATGGTTTATTTCTTGATTGCGGGCGCTCAATGGTGCTTACGGTGACCACTTCACCTACCGTTTTAAAGCATCCGACCTTGCTTCCCTAACCTACTTGCAGTCATTGTTTTAGTTCATCGTAGCAACGACTAACGTGTCTTCCACAGGTGAAAGCCATCTGGGATACCGGTACAGATAAAATGGACAAAAATTGAGTCGAATGCCAACAAGCCGATTTATCTACGATACCTTAGCAGATTTTTTCCTTTCACTGCTGAACACAGCATTGTCACACGCTTGTCGTTTCTGTGCCTACTGCTGTACCTGGTTGCTGGAAGTGCCGATGTAGACCCCTTCTCCGTTCTTGTCCCCCGAGTTGAACATGAAGTCGTGGACGCCGCAGTTTGAGATGGTGTTTCCCGTGACCTGGGCGTTGACCACGGAGTCCTTCAGGCGCACGCACTCTCCCCTGTTTCAAGCAGAGGCGTGGTCGGGGTCGGGGTAGGGGGGGGCGGGGTCACACGGTCAGTATCGGGAGCTACGTGGTTGTGGGATGTGGTGGTTTGTGACTTCGGTGTATTCTGCGAAGTCGTCGCCGGCGAGGGCTTCGTGTGTGTGAGAAATACGCACGGGTTGAGACGGAGGGAAGGCAAAACACATTTCGTGTTTTTTTTCTTCCAATCTTGTTCTCCGACACAGGCGGGTGTTGTCGTGAGAGTTGCGGCGGGTCGCGTACATGTAACGTTTCTGTGATCGAATGACAAAGGGACAAACGCAACAACGTTGGTGCCACGTTTTCACGTGCACAATAACATACAAGAAGATTAAACGCACCCGTCATTCTGGACTCCTACTCCATGACGCACCCGCATTGCTGGACTCCTACTCCATGTCGAACCCACAGAGTGCCACGAGCACAAAAGCTACACAAAAAGATAAAACGCACTCACCCGCAATTCTGGACGACCATGTCCTCCATGACGAACCCGTCGAGGACGGCGGACGAATTAGACCCGGGCCCTTCCACGTACACGCATTTGTTCACCCAAGAAGCCTGGTCGGTGTCATTCGACCCGATCTTTCCCTCAACGCTGAACCCCTGTGATTATCATGTCGACGTGGTGGTTGGTTCGATTTTGTATTGTTTTGTCGACAACGCACAAGGGAGGGCGGCTGCCGGTCCCGTGGCGTGTGGCCCATGCGGTGTAGACACATACAAACACTACTGGTTGACTGCGACAGCTGTAAATGAGATAATTGAATGGACTGGTTTGCTCTGTTTGCGGTGTCGAGGAAAATTCGCCGGGGTATTTAATTTGCGGGATGAGGAAACAAAAGCGTAATGTGGCGATCGACACTACAGCAAAAGACCTTACTGTTACTACGCTGCTCTGGACGCGCACACGCTGCTGCTATTACAGGACATTGTACAAGAGCGCCCAGGAAACACATGTAGCGAGCGGCCGGCAGCCCGACGAAAAATAATTTTTCTCTCACCGCAGTCACACAATCCAGAGCGTGAGGGGATCGGGCGAGAGCGGGTATCTACTTTTATAGATTGTAGATAATTGTAACGGTTTAACGGCAATCATTCTTGTCATCGGATAGTTTATTCGTGCAGTCCATGCTGTTGCCGTACTTGCAGGCCCGTGCTTAGCACCTTGGGTAGTTTCTGGCAGCTGCACGCGGTGGAGCAGTTTCCAGCCTCTCTGCGCGGCAGGACCACCGAAGCGCAATGACGGCCCATCGGCATTAACCAATATTCCGAAGACATTTGGTGCAACAGCGCATCTACTGCTGTACATGTCGAACTCGGTGAGAAATTTCGTCATGCATATGCGTGGATCTCAACCGACACACTCTGGCGGCACAAAACGTACGTGCGGTCGCCCACGGTGTTTCCAGCAGCCACACACTATCTCCCGTGTATTGTAGCAGGAAATGACGCAAATGGTGCATCGAGCAATGTTTCATTCGCTCCTTCTTGCGCCATTTCAACTGCGAGCAGCAGGAGTAGCAACCAGACAGCTTCGGGACTCATGCGAC